AGGGTTCCTGCGGTGCACGTACCGAATAAAAATTCTTAGGGAGGAGTCTCACGCGAAATTTTATTTATTTTCGCTTATTTCGGTGCCGTTTGCGGGCGGCGTTCTGCCCTTGCGTGCCTTTTGAGACAGCTTATAATACAAAACGGTGTATTCATTTATATAATAAACGCGGTTTGTTCGCTGCCCTCGTCTCCCTCGCGCTCATCTGCCTCTCGCGAACCTTTCTCTCTCGCGACCGAAATCATCGAGTTCGTGAACGAATAGCTAGCTGGGAAGGCAACCAAGGGATCGCGGCTTACAGAGCACCAAAACTCCATCTTTCTCATCCCTCCGCTCCGCTCCGACCAGAACCAATCGAAGAAGGTAAGCCTGTTCGCGCCCTACTTTCCATCTCTGCCATCTTTGTCGGCAATGGAGTCCTCACTGCCAGCGACTCAGTCCTCTCCTCCCAACTCCTCCCCCCAATGCAGAACCTCAAATCCGTAATGCCTGCAGGAATGAAAATTTGAGATCGGAGTATTTTTAAGATACAATCCTGCTCTCCTTACCAGTAGAAGATAAACAGAAAAAATGGATAACAAAATTTAGTTAGATAAATGTTTTGAGTGCATCATAAATTTTAGTCAATCAATAACCATAGATAATTAGAGTATCAAACTTGTTCTGTTAGCTGTTAGCTTTATATATTCCTCACAATACCTGCAATTAACAAAAGTCTCCAAGAAGAATAAAAAGCCATTTTGCATGTAAATACAACTAATGATGAATAACCTATAGTATTCACTGTCTGCTTATTGAATTTGAAACCATTTGAAATTGATTCAAATCCAAATTTGAATATGGATGTAACTCATATATTTAAATAGCAATCCTTTAGATTTGTGACATGCTTGCAACTTGCACTAGAGTATCACAACTTGTTCCATCTATGGTTAATGATATATGAGTGCAATGATGGTGATTAGGAGTAGGGCTATAATCAAGCTGAGTATATCATAGTTTGGACTTTGCTTGGTACAATTATAAGTTGTTCATGTTCGGCTTGAGCTTGTGTCGAGCTTTCACATATTTTTTAATATCTGCAAATTAGTTGTTTTTCAAACGCACAAATCAAACAACTAGATAGTTTATTCATATTAGGGACAAAATTGTCATTTATCCTGAAACAACTACGAATCAGTTATTTTTCAAACGCACAAACCAAACAGCTAGCCAACTTATCAGGATCAGCTGCTGATCAACAACTTATCAACATAAGCTGCAGCTGTCCCAAACAGACCCTTCATCATTGGGGCCGAGATTACACATGCTTTCATTAATTGGACTCCACAGGCAACTGTACCTGCGGAGTCCTGAATTAATATTTTCTTCTAAACCACACCGAAATCATTACTGCGAACACTCGTTTTCGTCGATGAAGTACTCCTGCAGGCAGTCGTCTCGCATTCGCCCCTCCTCTCTTTAGTGCCAAATCACTGTTGTAATCCTCTCCAAGAGAGCGTAAACCAAGCTTCGTGTTCGACCAAAGTGGCGGAGGCCATCTCAATCGATTCGCACTGAGAGATATCTTTCCTCTTGAATTTGTTTATTTTACAGGGAGATATAGACAAAGTTTTATTTTTGTTCTAGGTTCTCTTTTTGGGCGGGGGTAAACGAATGCTTGATTGCAGATTTAGTTTTGTTTGATTAAGGGTTTAGGGTTGAATGTTTAATGCAAATTTAACAAAAATGTGTTTTTTTAGTTGATGTGCCTTTTATTTTTTATTTTTTAAGAGATTTTTTCCTAATTATGTCTGTTTTCTATGTAATATGGGTAAATGTGCTTTGGGTTTTGATTTGAGGAGATTTGATATAGGTGACTAAGTTGGGTTATGATCTGAGGTATAACTGTTTTTGTTTGAAGAAGTAACTGTAAAACTGCCGTTCAAAAATTTGCAGCAACTATCATAATTTTTTTTTTGAAAAAATCATATTGCAATTTTTTAGCAATCACTCTAGGTAGTCAGATCCGTCTCAAACGCACCCTTAAAATTATTTGTGCGACAACCCAAATTTTCACTTATTAAGGTATTATTTGCTTTAGCTAAGTGGCCTCATAATTTTGCCCTGTTAATGTAGCTTCCCAGCAGGTCAACTATTCTATGAGCGCTCCAGGACGAACATGCTTAATTTTGAAGTTTCTAATAAAATTTCACTTTTATACTAAAATGCACCTCGATGTTTAAGAGTTCAGCTTCATTCTACTTAAGGGGTTACACAATCTCCCCCATTCAAGTAGCTGACATTCTCGTATGTTCTCGCATCCGAGAATTATCCAGGCGTCCCACCATGTAATACTTTGCTCATTCAAGGTTCAAGAGGTGGCTCCCATTGTGTTATACTCAGATATCATTTGTGACAGTTTGAACTCACCCATTAAGATATTGTCCACTTTGGCCAAATGACCTCGCTTTTGTCCCGCTGGTATAACTTCCGAGGAGATCACCCATCTTAGGAGTGCTCCAGGACGAACACACTTAACTTTGGAGTTTCAAAATTCCACCGTCACACCAAATTATACCTTGATGTTTAAGAGTTCGACTTCATTTTACTTGAGAGGTTTTACAAGTTGACTTCGGCCGTTGGGATTAAAATGATGCTTCTCCTAACTCTTTCACTATAACCTCAAGCTTCTTTGGTTGATTCTTTACTTTGATATGAATCATTGAATTTTTTTTTATTCTTCATTTGTTTAAAAAGGAAGTTGTTGTATTGACTTTTTTTCTTAAGGGGAAATGAGGTAGATTTAATTTCATAACTCATTTGGTTCAGAATATTATTGTTTTCTGTGAGAAGAAAGAAGCAATTGCTTCAGTAGTTTATTCTTTTCAATTTATCATGTCATGCTTTTGGATTTGGAATGATTTTGTTGTAGTCCGATGCTTTATGTTTCTTTTTTTAAAGGAACGAGGTTTATTTAAAGAGCAGATAATATGTTAAAAGAATTGTAGCTATGCCTTTTTTATCTCTTACTTAGGTCTCCATTTGTTGATGATTGTTTTTGTTTCATTCCTTCTTTAGTAAACATTTCTGTTACATGGATAGCCTTTGGCAGTTGGGAGATGAGTTCTAGAGGCAGTCTAAAATCTTAAAGGATCATTTCCAACAAATAGTTATATTTCCTCAAACCACAATAGCAAAATATAAAAAAGACCAGCTTGCATGGTTCATTTTGAATTTTACAAATTTTTACATCCAATTTGTTTAATTTTAATGTTTTGCTACTTAGAATTATTTGAGCTAATTTAATTCACAGACATTGATTTAGAAATGAGTTCCAGTTAATTATTGGCAATAAATGAATTTGTACATCATAGTCAGGTTTATTATAGAAGCAACTTATAATGCATTTTTTTTCACTTGCCATAGAGGACAGAATAATAGAAGAAAATTTTATTGATGGATAAAGCTGATCTAAAGATGATCAGCTGAAAACACTTTCTTATGCTAGGTATTGAAGAAAATGTGCAAAAGAAGAAACAGAATAGTGACAAAGTCTGAGTTAATATTAAGTCATCAGATGCTTCATCTGCTAAGTCTTTTGTTGACCTCATTTTTGTGAGGTCTTTTCTTC